GGAAAACCCGGATTCCAAATTAATCAGAATGAGTGTTAGGAACCGTCCTCAAGTCTCTTAAATTTAGGATCACCGAAAAGACTGGTGGATGGGGCATATTGGGTAGCCTGTGCGTGGCAACACAATCCGTCGGACGAGACAACAGTAAATAATGGATCGCATCAGGCGTGCCTTTTGGGTTAAGCTCTGCTGTCAAAGCATAGAGATGAGATCACTCAAGTCAAAAACGTCTACTCTAACTTACACGGTTATGAAATACAACAGCTCATATTAGGGAAAGAATGAAAATAAATATTCCTCATAACGTATTTGTTACTGCTCCCCTTTTCCTTGGACCAGCGAATAAAGAATGATAACTCGTATTTTCACCTCTCTTATAAGAACTAGCCACAAATGTGTGTGTGGGGAGGGATTCATCGGGTTTGCTTGTGCTTATGCCTTATTAGCTATATAAACATCGAGATGTTTTTTCACATAACATCCTATTGCCGTATCATTCGTTGCGCAAATAAAACGACGCCCATCACAAAACGTCCTCAATTTAAACGGTTCAAAAGCTCACTTCCGATGAAAACACGCTACAGAATTTCTTGAGGCTTGGCGCCCATGATCAACTCAGTAAAAAGGCACATCGAAATGGATCACGTGAAAACGCCGATGCAAATCAAGGATAGACTGACGCAATGTGATCCGAGAACGAACCGGAAAACCCATAATTCAAACGGAGTAACCATGATGAGTGGGTGCGGATAACTAACTAGATTTCGGATAACAATGTGGCAAGAGCAAATGATGAAGATAACTTTGAGTAGCATCAACAGCTTGGTTAAGGTTATCACTGTTAGTGAAGTCATCGGATAGCTTTTAGGACACATGTGAGGCAGAAGGGTTCATTGAATTTCACGGTTAATTTAAGTGAGAACCTCCTACCAAGATAGAGCCGTATAAACTTTCTTAGCTTAATGATGGTAGTTCCATGGACGGTGGCAGGAGCAGTCTATATCACTCTAAATGATAACATGATTGAGTAGATCATATGGAAGAGCTTTCAATTTAGATATGGCGTCGTTCATAGTCTACGCAGAACAAATTTTAAGGTCACTAGCTTGGCGATCTCCTTGATCATATATATAGTAAAAAATAAGAAAGAACAGAAGGATAGTGCTTTATAGATACTGTGATGTGCGGTGAACTGAATTAAAAACTACAAGGCTTAGCCGCTGTACAACGATTGAATTCCATCGGTGCATGTTTTACAGAGATATAGCGTATTCAACTTGGCAAAATGCTTCTTCGTTTAAGGATAATGAAAACAGTCATGAATTTTTCAACACATAAAAAAATTAAAACTTAATCACTGAAGTAGTTTCAGTGTTTTCAACCACTAACCATGCACTTTCGTGCGCCGATTTTGGTTACTGTCTTTTGGTTGTCTGTTTGGATAAAACTGCAGAATGAAGATTAGAATCTTCAGAGCAAATTCAAGGGGAAGGTAGGGAATTAATGAGGTAGTAAACAGATGTAAACCCTAATAAGTACCTGCATGCAACGTTCGTGGGTAGCAGAAACCATAGAGAATACACGTGAGCAATTTGGAAGCGGCATTAATCAAACTAATTTCCCTGTGGTCTCCACAAGGGAAAGCCTTTATTTTGAATTCCCATGACAACCCATTTGCATTGATGTACGCGCATTTCCGTGACTGTTTTATAATTTAAACCCAAAGCTTTCGAGATATTATCTGTCTCTGTGGCTAGAGTGAGTACCACGGGCCATATTACCGGATAAAACGGGGTTAAACTTGACTGGAACGAATTTTCAACAAGTTGCCAGCATCAAAAACCGAATTTACACTCTTACCTCCGTGGATAGCTCTAGGCAGTGTAGAGAATATAGCGGAAAAATCAGGAACGATCGATTACAGTAACGCGGCTGATCAATAGCTCTTAAAGATTCAAAGAAACATCCGATCTTCTATGATAAAGATAGAGGTAGTTCAAAATAAAAACCTATGGCGTCCCGAAACCAATGTACATGCCATCTAGAAACTTAAAATGAAGAGCGATATGGATTAGGTTACTTGTTGTTTGTAAAAGACTAAAAATTTCTCCCTAATTTTCCTCTAATCATCTGTGGCTTGAATAATTCGTAGTGGATCGTTAACAAGCCTATGTCGTTCAATTTCATGCCACGAATTCCAACAAATGACGAGTCAGTATCAAAGATGCCGAGTAGCTGGTCAATAGAGCACACGAATCTGTAAATGGGCTCATCGACCAAACCTGGAAATAACCTGACAGTTACAGCAGGCAGCCGTGGCTTTAAGGTTAACCTTAACCTGCGATTTCAAACAAAAATCACACCGGAATGTTCTAATTTTCTGATTCACGGTTTGAACGTACCAGAAAGGATCAGAAGAAAGCTACATTGCAGTGACAGTAATAGATAACCTCAATGATTAATTTCACAAAAAATTGGCTGTGTTGCAAGAGGAAAAGCGACCGCATATTTTGACCGACAGTCCAAAGTTACCATGAAAAATGTTCTTTGAGAACACCATTTGTGTGTGCATTTCTATTTACTTTTTTGATCTAGTTAATTCCATAAACTACTCATTTCTCGTGGAAGTACAGTTGAACATGTGGTGATGCACCGAAAGAAGTCAACCGTAAAAAACTATGTGAAACAGTATGGACAGAAAGCAAGCAGAGCCCCAAAACACTTATGATTTAACACAATGTACTGGATGAGAAGCGTGGAGGGGGGATTAGACTACTGGTTGAAAATCCTTGGTAAATTACTGACTGTTCTAAGGAGTTCCCGTAATACGAACTTCTCTGCGTCACTAATTCATCTTTGGTTTTACCATGATCGAAAAGGTCACATCCGATATACCGGGAAAGCAATAGATTACAGGAAAACTGCTTCACATAAGTACTCCCGAAACTCTCAGTTCAATTTCTTCTAAACATCACTTGTTCCCTTCATGGTTGATTCAGTTCCGGACATTCAGCAGACGAAATGATTTTTGTTGATTTATCTCGATCTTTTTCTGTATACTTGTCATTTTTCATCTTGTAGCTAGCTTCTCCTGTTGTGCACAAGATTGATTTTCTCTTCTGTGTCGGGCGACTTCGCACCTAAGCTCATCGTCTCCTATTGTACACGGCTCGAATCTATAGACATTCGAATA